CTTTTTAGACGAAGGCACGGGTTTCAGTCGTGAATTTTGGAGCTTCGACCAGACAGAGGTATTTTTCACCCCGAGGTAAACCTGTTAGCTTAGCTTGTAGCTTAACTTCTCAGCTTAGCTGCTTTTATCGACCCAAAAACACAATTTTGGACGATTAAAACAGAATTTAAAGAGAAAAGAGAAAGGGAAGGGTCAATGAAGAGCACCGGAGTTGAGCCTTTTGTCATCCAGTGTCTTCAGTAGAAAGAGAGACACGAAGAAACGATAAAGCTGATAAATGAGGTCGATGATTTTCATTTATCATGCGATTAATTGATTTATTGTTTATTGTGAAAGGCCTACTTAGAGGTAAAATAAAGTGCCATCGATGGAAGTTGTAGGTAATCAGACCTATTCTGTTAATTTCTATAATAATTTCAAGTGTAACGCAGTAGCAGCATTCATTAACTCTAACTTAATAATCTCAACAAACACAAGTAAAGAGCTAAAATTAATAGAAAATGGTTGTGTAGATTTCTAGGTGTAGGTGTTGATGTTCAAGTGTGTTTTTGTGAGTTCTGGAGGTGAAATTTTACCGAAACCAACAGGAATTCACCACCTCCATCTCCCTTATATAGGAAAAACTTTAGTAGCTTAAAAACATCTAAAGAACCATTGTTGTAATGTTACCTGCTGGTAATAACTCTGTTTCATGATGGAAAGTGTAATATCTACTTTTGTCTACACAAAAAACACATTCAGAATTTGTGTTAAACATGTACGAGGACAGTAACAGCATCTATTTATCACTGCAGCCAGTACGTCACTGAGCTGCGACTGTTGGAGACTAGTTGGTGACTCAGTATGGCCAAAAAAGGTTCGTTTTTCATCCCGGTTTCACTAAATTCTGGGAGTTTGTAACCAGCAAGCCTTTCGGGCATGTTTTTAAAAATTTAAAACTTTTATCATAGCTTATTTTTGCGTGCATGACTTGCAAAACTGTATTTTAGGCCCTGCACAAGTTTGTTCCTCACTTCCGCTAACGTTGTACCTGCCTGAACCCGCTCACCTTGGCAACCATCCTCCCATTTATGATTTAATGAAATAAACTTTAGAAATTAAAAAAAGGAGATTTGGGTTATTTTTATTTATAAATGTTGTGTTTTTTTGAGATTGTTGGTATAAGGAGGACTCTCATTCAAGTGTCAAAATGCAGCTCTAGAATTTACAGAAACTAAATAGAAACAAATTGGAGATGCTGCTAAAACTACTTTGAGAGAAAGTTCATTCCACAGATTTTTTTTTTGAACAAGCTTAAAATTCTATTCACATGAACTGAAGAAAAGGCACAAGGAGAACTGGACGTGGCACGGAACCCAAACGATGCTCAACAGAAGCCGGCGTGGAGACGGACTAAATAGGCTGGGGCCAACGAGGAGGTGGCTGCAGCTGAGGCTAAATGGAAACGTGGAGCAGATGAAGGTGAGCGTGGCAAAACTGAAGAGGAAAGACTGGAAAAATACTGACGATGGCTGGAAACACGGAGAGGCAGGGAACAAGCTGAACACGAAGCAACAGAGAAACTAAACACCATAAGAAATAAATATAATACCAAAAACAGAAAACTAAACACTGAAACACACTGATACAAACAAAAATAAATTTAAACCTCAGTTTAAATCTATACTGGTACGATTGAAACATGCCAATATTCAATTTAACCAGTTTACTTAAATGTCTCGCTGTGTGTTGCCAAATAAATCCCCTTCATGCACACTGAAACGTCAAAGGTAATGGTTGAGTGAAAACTAAAATAAATCAATTCAGATGATCTTTTAGCTCGGCTCCCTGGGGTCTGCCCCTCTGAGGACGGGATGTGCTGGGGACACTGGATACACTGTCCCTGTCAGCAGATCAGCGTGGACAGGCTGATGGAGGATGGGGCCACTGGGAGCAACTCCTGATGAAACGATCAATATTTGCTGCTGCTCTGCACCATCAGAGGGGAACGACGGCAGACACTGAGGCATCACCTCCTCCTTCCTGCCCAGTATGGCTGTGCTCAGCACAAACCGCCTGTCTGCATGTGGCGGCTCTGTCTTTGGCATTCTTATTCAGTTTCTGTCTTTTCAAAAGGATCAGACAGTCTTTATGGACATTTAATTTATTCAGAGTATTTGCTCCTATTGGAGCTTCTCTTGGTGAGATTAGTTTTCTATTGCCGTGTAGGTTTTTTATTTATTTATTTTTTTGCAATTCTAAAACAACAATTTACATTGTTGGGGCGAGCCCTGTTGACAGGGCGGGGCACCCTCCTTGTATAATGGTAGGAGAAACATTGAGTTGTATTCCCACCATTACACAACTTCCCACAACCCTGCGTGGAAAAGGCGAGTAAAAGAAATGGATGGATAGATGATGTGATATGATATATGATTTGATATATTTTATATATGATATGATTGATATATTTTATTATATGGTGTAGTGTAGGCAGCACGGTGGCGCAACTGGTAGAGCTGCTGCCTCTCAGCGAGCAGGTCCCTGGTTCAAACCCCCGTCCAGGGGCCTTTCTGGGTGGAGTTTGCATGTTCTCTCCGTGCATGCGTGGGTTTTCTCCGGGTACTCCGGTTTCCTCCCACAGACCAAAAACATGCATGTTAGGCTGATTGGTAACTCTAAATTGTCCCTAGGTGAGAGTGAGAGAGTTAATGGTTGTTTGTCTCGTTTGTCTCTATGTGTCCCTGTGATGGACTGGAGACCCGTCCAGGGTGTACCCCGCCCCTCGCACAGTGATTGCTGGACATGGGCACCAGTGGCCCCCGTGACCCAAAATGGAATAAGTGGGTAAAGAAAATGGATGGATGGATGGATGGATGGATGGTGTAGTATAAGATATGATAATATGATATAATATGAGATCATATGAAAATATATATGTTATGATACAACATGATATGATATAGTATGATGATATGATTGAAATTATGTATGATTGATATGATTAATGATATATGATATGACATGATGATATAATTTAACGCATTTCATGATAATCTGATGTATGATTCATTCATTCAACCATTATTAATACAGGTTATCATCTGTATTATCTTTACATTCTTTTCCATAATATATTCAAATTTCATATATTCACAGTATATATATATATATATATATAAATATATATATATATATATATA